ATTTCTCATTGTGATCTGTCCAGAACTGTTTGTTATTGTAGGGTCTCTCTGCGGGGGGCGGGGGGAAAGCCACATGGTTTGTCACGGTAGGGATTCTGGGGAGCACTGGGGGCACAGACACAGGGGTTGTTATTGTAGGGTCTCTCGGGATGGCTGGGGCGGAGTACGCTGGGTTGTTATTGAGTAGCTGTGGAGTAGGGGGAGCCCAGGGCTGGGCTAGCAGGGGGCTGCGGGTCAGGAGTGAGGGGCTCTGACAGAGCTATGGGGTGAGCGGGGGCTGAATCAAGACTCTTGGGTTCTATCCCCGGCTCCGGGAGGGGGAGGGGGTCTAGTGGTTACAGCAGGCTGGGGGCTGGGAGCTAGGACTCCTGGGTTCTATCCGCGGCTCCGGGAAGGGAGTGGGGGCTAGTGGTTGGAGCGGGGCGGGGGCTGGAAGCCAGGACTCCTGGGTTCTCTCCCGGCTCTGCTACTTCTCCTGTCCCTCAGTTGCTTCGCTGGGGGGCAGCAGGGTCGGCCGGGGGAGGGGGCAGAGCTGCATTTCCCCATTCCCACAGCCGGGGGAATCCTGCCCCCCCCTCCACCCCCCGGCAGGACAAGTCCCAGCCTGCCCTCTCCCTGCAGGTGTTTCGCTCGTTGGGTGCACACGGGGCGGGGGGGGGGGGCTGGCTCCAACCCCCGAAACTGGCCCTTCAGCTGGGGAGGGTTTCACCCCAGCCACCCCCTGCCCCAGAGTGGGGGACCTCAGAGCACAACCTAGGCTCTAATCCACCCCCCACCCCCGGGTGCGCCCCTCACCTGGCCAGGCCTGGGCAAGGCTCAATCCCGGCTTCTCAGCAGCAGCGCCCGGCAGAGCTGCCAAGTCGCGTCACTGAGACAGGGAGGAGACAGGAGGGAACTGCCAACCCCAGAGGCTGGCATGGGGCAGCTCCTGGCACTGGGGAGGGGAGAGCCCCAGCCCCGCCCCCGCTCTGACCCACAAGACCCCACCCTCCTCCGGGGGAGAGAACCCAGGAGTCCTGGCTCCGAATGGGAGGCCTGAAGACACTTGACTGATTCAGAGCCCATCACCACCAGAAACCGAAAATCCAGCTGTGGGTGGGGCCCAGAGCTGGGCTAGCAGGGGTTGCGGGTCGGGAGTGAGGGGCACCGGCAGAGCTGGGGGGAGCCCAGGGCCGGGCTAGCAAGGGCTGCGGGTCGGGAGTGAGGGGCACCGGCAGAGCTGGGGGGGGTCACTTGCCCCGCTGCTTGGACGCGCCAATACTTTGTATCTTGGCTGGTGTGTCGTCCCGTCTCCCCGCCCCAGGGCAGGGCAGGGCAGGGCTCAGCTCATTCCCTAACAAGGAGCGAAGAGGCAGGTATGACTCCCCCGCCCTTTGGCCCGGACCCAAGGCAGGTGGATCTGGCGGCTCAGCAGGGCAGGGTGCAAATTCCACAGTCACCTGCTCCAACTGCATCCGCCCAGGCTGGGGAGAGAACCCAGGAGTCCTGGCTCCCAGCCCCCCCCGATCTAACCGCTAGACCCACTCCTCTCCCGGAGCCAGGGAGAGAACCCAGGAGTCCTGGCTCCCAGCCCCCTGCTCTAACCACTAGACCCCACTCCCCTCCCAGAGCCAGGGAGAGAACCCCGACCCCAGTGATCGGCTGCGTCCCAGCCGACACCCCGGCCCTGGGAGGGACGGGAACCCAGCCCAGCCCCCACTCTCCTGCCAGCTGTGCCCAGCCAGCCCGTTAATTAGCTCATCAATCAGCGCCCGGAGCGGGCATTGCCAGGCGCGCCGCGGCTGAGCCAGAGGCCCCCTGAGACACCTGGGGAACCTCCTGCCACTGCGCTGCTGCCAAGTGGGGAAGCTGGCGAAGCAGGTTCTGGCCAGGTCAGCACGTGGAGGAGACACAACACGGCTGGACCCACCGGACTGCCCTGGGGATGGATCAGCAGGGGGCGCTCTCCCCGGGCAGGCAGGATGGGCCCGATACCATAGGGCAGCACTAGGGGGCGCTGGGCTGCAGGGAGCGGGGGTGGGAAGGAGGGCTCAGCAGGGGGCTCTCCCCGGGCAGGCAGGACTGGCCCCGATGCCCAGGGCAGCACTAGGGGGCGCTGGGCTGCAGGGAGCGGGGGTGGGAAGGGGGGCTCAGCAGGGGGCGCTCTCCCCGGGCAGGCAGGACGGGCCCGATGCCCGTAGGGCAGCACTAGGGGGCGCTGGGCTGCAGGGAGCAGGGGGTGGGGGCTCAG